GGAAAGAGGAAGAGAGGGATTGGTACTCGTTGATGGGCTGTTGCTCCGCCGGAACGGGGCAATCGGCCTCCGGCAGCGACGGCGGAGGCGGCGGGTAGAGGTTTCCGGCGGCGGGTTTTGGGAAAGGGGAAGAGGGTAGGGGTATTTTGGGGAATAGATTGTGGTGGAGGAATCGGCGGTGGAGGGAGAGTGGTGGGGAGGAGGAGAGGGGGGTAAAGTGGTGGAGCAGAGCAGCCATGGCAGCAGCTTCAATTTTGCGAATTTCGATTTTTTTTTTTGAAGTGGGAATAAACAAGAATAAAAAAATAAAAAAAAAATGAAGCGTTTGATCCTTGGAGGATTAGTTTACATGAGACAAAAGGGACAAACGGACAGACACTAACTGGACTTTGTACTTTGCAGGTCAAAGGGATACATGACCAATTAACATGCCAATTAGTGATTTAATCTTATAGGTAAATCTAAAACCTCAAGTAGTTAATGAATTTGACAATACCACGCTTAAAGCTAATGTTTTTTTGTCAACTAATTAATCAATTAAGAACATCACAGAAACATTTTCATATATAATCTTTAATATAACTCAAGCCGACAAAAATAGAAACACAGAAAGATCCAAACAACTGAATTCCTTGAATGGTATCCTTTTTTCCTTCTCTTTTTTTACGTTATATTTAAGAATAAAAGAGCTTTGTCACTCTTACAGAGATCCCCACATGTTTACACTTCCCAGATCCTTGGGGGAAAATCTCTCCTTCTACCCCAAACGAAAAAAAGATTAAAAAAAAAATCTTTCCTTTTCTTTTTTTTTGTTTGTTCTAATGTACTAGTTATAAGTAGCAACAATAATATATAGTAGTAGCGATAGTTACAAAGGGCTTTTATAGGGGCCTTTTTTTTTTCTGTTCTTGTTGAGTTCCCACTTCGAATGAACTCAACAGCTTTCATCCCCATCCCCCCTACCATGTAATTTTTTTTTTCTCTGACTGATCTTACCGTACAAAAAAAGGACGAAAAATGGTGTTTCGGTTTCAGGGTTTTTTTCTTTTTACCTTCCCGGAGTTGATCCCCCCAATCATCAGCTCTTTGAACCAGACCGGGAATGAGAAACTCCGGTGACAAAGTGTTATATCGAACTTCCGACGTTTTCTCCAGAGTTCGACCTGGTTTCAATGGTTAGACGCTGAAGCCGCTTCAGACGGTGCATTAGTTGTGTAAAAGAAGGACGTAAATGCGGCTCCCTGCACAAAAACCACAACTTAGTTCCTCGATACATCTAATTTTAGGATTAGGGTTCTTGTTGTTGAATCCAATCCCATCCACCCATTTAAAACCATTCCATTTAAAGCCATTTGATGAGCATACTTACGTTTGCCAACATTCACGGATAATCTTTGCAACAGTTGGATCAATGTCTTCTGGGATTTCAAGCCGTCGATTTTGAAACCCGACAGCTCCAACAACCTGCATCGGGTTCAGACCTTTCCACGGGATACGTGTAGTGGCTAGCTCCCACAATATAACACCAAAACTGTACACATCACATCTGCGCTAACACGCCAATTGGTTATCCACTAGATATAAACATGGTATTAATGAATTGAATTTCTAATGAAAAGTGTCAAATTTGCTCACTTCTCGTTTGCCGGTTCATTTCTCAAGACTTCTGGAGCCATCCACTCGGGCTGCATGGCCAAAAGCAATGTTCTTTATCAGGGGAGCATCTCTATTTCTTTACCTCAAAGATTATCTAGGTTGAGATTTGAGAATTCAAGAACGCAGATATTCTAGATAAAAACTAACCGTTCCTGCTGTCGATTTTGAAGACAAGAAAGTATGGTGCTTCATGCGTGACAATCCAAAATCGCAAACCTTCACAACCCAATTTTTATCGACAAGAAGGTTTGGAGATTTCAAATCTCTATGTACAATGGTCGGATGGCTTGTGTGCAAGTAATTCATCCCCTTTGCCTGCCAATCGATAGAAAAAACCGTCAAAAGAAACAGGCATTGGAAGTACGATTTCGGGGATAAAAGCAGTTTAACAGACTTAAATAAGGCCGACGGTTTAGCCAACTCAACTCTTACATACCACATCAAGAGCCATCTGCATCCGCCTCTTCTCATCAAGTTGAGTTTTGGGCCGATGGAGTAATCTATACAAACTGCCCCTGCATTCATTACGTAATTTTCTTGTTTAGTTTCGAGAAAGAAATTATTAACAAGAGAATACTCTGTCAGAATGGAGAAATGTGGCAGATGGGTAAGAAATTATTAACAAGAGCATAAACTGCCCTTGCATTCATTACAACATGCCTCTTCTCATTAAGAATGTCGCGTAATAGAAGAAATAGAAATCAAACTACCGGTCCATTATCGAACTGTGAAAGAGGAACATGAGGATCAACCTGGGTAGAAACTCTGTCAGAATGGAGAAATGCGGCGGACGGGTAACTGCTCCCATGAAAAGAACAACATTTGGATGCCTTAACCTCAACATTATTTCAACCTGTGGGAAACAGAAGCGACGATATCATTCACAGTAGGATTAAAAAGAAAGGCAGGTCATAACAAAAGAAAAGATATCTATGATTAAGAGATCTGAGAGTCACCTCAGATTTAAACTGTGTCAATGCATCACCAGAGAAATCTTGGTCCAGAAACTTCTTCACAGCAACTTCCTGCAAAGAGAAACCAAAATCAGAGAAAAGTTCCTTCAATAAATAGCAAATCATCTTAATCTGGTGGAAAATGAGTAAGATTTTAGAAACCGCCTAAGAAAGAACATTGCAACAATTGGCGGAACATGACTCCAAAACATAACTTACAGTTCCATTCCACTCGGCACAGTAAACCTCGCCATATGAACCTGCAATGTTCCAGAATGATATCAATGAAATGAGCATGTCAGATGTTTCCATTGAAGACAATATAATCAAACTGAAGACGCTGAATTAATATCAAGAGAGACAAGAACAAGGCGGAATCACCGGCTCGAATAAACCTTCTTCAAGAGTCTTTTGCTATGATACCACTCGAGTTCACAGTATATCATGTATTCTATTAGGGAACATCCAAAATTCAATGTAATCCAAATCTTACCAATGCCAATGCGCTCGCCGATCTGAAGATCTTCCCACAGAATTTCCCATTTTGCAGCCTCACCAAGCAATGGATTAACTCCTTGATCACGACTGTTGCAAATAACAGTCCCTCCAGAAGCAATATCAGTCTCCATTGCTCCGATGGCAGATACTTCACCAAAATTATTGACATCGAAGTTTCTGTTTGTTGAGAAATCAACCTCCACCGGTTGGTAGGACTCAGCTGCAGCAAGTGAGTGAGGATCATCAATGTATTTTCCAACTCTAAAGGCAATACCAGTTATCAGAAAGTCCAATATTCTGGTAAGAAATAATTAACTGACTATTTTATCCACACTTATATATTCCTCACCTGAGGTACAAAGAGCCGAATTTCGCAGCACCATTGGATTTGCTTCAGATTCTCTTAGTTGTTCAACTACCAGCTCCTCTATCTATTCAGTACAGATGGAAACAGTCAAACACATAAATCAGAAGAACGTAAGCGAGAATATGCATCTCATGAACACACCTTTTCACCATAAACCCAACAATTGCTACTTTCTTGACGGACTTCTTGATGCTCATTCTGTTCCTTCTGTTCCCTCAGATTTTGGGGGTTGATATCCATAAACAAATCTGGGGGAGGCGATGCACCACTCTCTAACAAGACAGCATGTAATTTCTGAGCAAATTCAGGGTTCTTTGCGGCGCTAATGACATACTTTGAGACATTCTTAACTTTAACTTTTTGTGCACATGTTGGTTTTGCGGAAGCTACTGGCATATATTCACCAGACATCTGTTGTGTTTGCATTAGCTTTCCGAAGTCATGCTCAAACCTCTCAGTTTGATGTTTCTCGACAGCAAATTTTTCATTGCTGTCTTTATGGTATCCAGAGTAAAAGTCTGTGTCTATATCACACCCAGGATCTTTTACTTCAGGAACTGAAATTACCGCAGTTCTAATTTTGTTGTCAAGAACTGCACATGAACTTCCCCGTACGTCCAGAGGATCAGAAAACACTCTTGAATCTGGGTAAGAAATTGGAAGATAACTGCTGGGAACCTCGGTGGGAATTAAAGCACCCGGAGCACCCATTAAATCAATAATGTATTCACTGCATAGAAAGAATAATGTAGATCACTTCGAAGATTAACTATGATCAAAGACAGACTCGAAACAAAAATATCGAGAAAATTGAACACAAACATAAAGCAGTGAATCACAAGCTATCAAAGAATACCTTTCATCATCTAGCTTAATCAAGTTCACAGCCCCGTCATCAGTTCCCGTATAATAGCTGCCCTTTACCAGCATGCATGGGAGGTTAATCCTATCAGCAAGCACCTATTAACAAGAAAAAGGTGGAATATTTAGCTTCAATCTACATCATTTCATGGGGATAGGAAAGAAAGGTAACAAAATCAGAACTGAATAACACCAAAGAATCACGGATTTTCGTGCCAGTAGAAAAGTGATATAATATAAACATGTCCAAGCGAAGGTCAGAATCTGAACCATGTAAAAAGAGATGAAAACCACCTTGAAAAGCAAAGCTCTGTGACGTGCAAGACCAACATCAAGGCGCCCAAGCGGAAGAATAATGGTGTTCAAAGAACTCCTTAGTTCATAGCTCCTAACTGTCCACCTTCTCACCATTTCATCAGCATTCTCAACCGGACCACCCATTTTCTCTACAACTATACCTGCGATGCGTTGGATCAAATCACTCGAAACCAGACCACGCGCAAAAGCTACGCATTCCAAAGACACGGCATTAGCCCTTTTCTCAAGCTCGCACAATTCAGGATCCACCAATCGATTCACCAAAATGACCTCATAATCAATATTATCATTATCTGAAATAGATATCGCTTGAAGATCCACCAGCAGTGGCATCTTTCCTAGTGAAAGAGAATTCGAGGTAATCCCATAGACATCATAAAATCCATCCTTGACTTTCTCGTCATAATTAATAACCTTATGCCCCTGCAAGGAAGAACAACCCTACAATCAGCTAACAAGCTCCATCGTCATGCTCAAGGAAGAAGACAATCTGCATTGCAACAGATTCATAATCGACAAACTTAGACAACTCAAATTGAAAAATCCTCTCAATCAGGAAATGCTACAGCAAGTTCAGTTCAGTAGTAACAGACTGAACCAAAATAAGCAGTTCAAGCAGTAGCCTTGCAGTATAATAGCAAGATCATAATTTCTCTGGACCACCAAACCGACGGATCAAACCCCTAAACCCAAGTACGAAGAAATGATCCCAAAAAACATAAAATCCAAGCATAAGGAAATACACGGCGTACCCAATAGCGAAGCGACAGAAAGTCAACGACGGAATCCGCGTCGGTGGCCGGAGCCGGAACCCCGAGACTAATTCGCTTGGCAGCATCGATCTGCGCTGTGTCCGCATTTTCCCGCGAATCAGGATCAGACGCACTGATCGCCATAGCTAACTGGACCTGGAACTCCTCCTCCATCATATTGAAATCCACACCGTCCACGGCCGTCAGATCACGACCCGCCAGCCCCCCCCCCGCCACTCTCCGTATTGCCGACGAACCAGAATCGAATCCGGAGGAAGAAACCGACGAACTCGACGCGGGGCTAGGGCTAGGGCTTGGAATCGGACTCGGAGCGATCACCGACCGAGTCGACTCATCCAACCTGTGATGGTCGACAAATCCTCCGCCACCACCCCCTCCGCCGCCGATGTGGAGCTTCCGGAGAAGATGCTTCATCTTCGACATGGATCATCAACGACGAATTGATCTCTTTCTCTCTCTAAAAGTCTCCAGTTTTTCTCGCTCTAAAAGTGCAGCTTCCTTTCAGTTTTTTTTCTTTGTTTTTTTTTTCTTCTAATTAATTAATCGCAAAGAAATAAATTTTAAAAGAAATTGTACTGCCACTACTGGCTTAACCTGCGCCGACTATCGCGAAAGCAGATTCGCTTAACCTGCGCACCAGTTCACTGGATTACGAACGCCTCTGATTTATTTAAACTATAGTATTTAATATTAAATCAAAAATTATCCTCTTGCCCCATTCCCTCCAACAAAACATAAACTAATAAATAAAAATTTTAACATAAGAAAAATACATGAAAACTGGAATATGCAATTCTTATTATTTTATAGTTTAACATATTATAAATAAAAATATTCGTTTTAGAATACATGGATTACGAGCTTTTGGTAAAACAATGAAATAAAATATTTTATATTTCGTGTAAGTCACTAAAAACAAGTTGACCAGCTTTGGCCGTCCACCCATGACTATACTTCCTTTACAATACATATCATATTTGTGAATTTGGTACATTCTCCATTTTTTTTTTCTATCTATTTTATTTTCCATAAGAATTTGTTCACCTCCCTTCCCTCCGGCCGTCGTGGGCGCATTGTCAAGAAAAAGTGTGGAGGAGGAGAAGAATCCAGGGATTGCTTTCGCAACACCATTTCTGAGATTTGCTGGGAGAAGATGAACGAAACACCATTTCGCAATATTCTACAATGCAAGATTCTAGGACACAACCATCTAGATAAAAAGGTATATAGATTCTGATCCATTGGTCTAATCAAGTGTGTGAGAGTCCTCCTCATTCCGAGTATTCTTATCCAGATGCCATTGAGAATAAGAAAAGATTCTACAAGAACATGCAATAGTAGTAGTACATTGAACCGACGGTCATGTATTACAAAAAAAAATAATTAAGCAGTGTTGGCCATGGACTCGATGAGAAGGGCATAGCCCTCGGGGACTGGAGACTGCAGTCTCACGCACTCCGCCAAGGCGGGCACATCTGATGCAACGTCCAGAAACTGTGCCACAAATAGGAGCAGATGGAAATCAGAGATCCTCTTCACGAAAGGGAGGCTCTTGGCTCTTTCCAGATGGTTTCTAAGGCTCCGCACTGTCCCTTGGGTGTTCCGATTCTCGATCGGGAATGTTGATGACAGAGGTCCCTGCCAAAACAAAAACTCGCACACAGTAATTTCGACACTTTTAGATTTAAGCAAAAAGAGTTCCCAAGTAGTCCTCTCCCCTGCAGAACCCTTCAATTGATACACAATTCTCTAACTCATGCTTATTTTTACTTAGCCTGATCATCCTAATGTCTGCCATGGCAGGAATTTGCAAGAGTAAGTTCTTACAGAGAGAGACACCCCCACATAGATTCTTACAACAACAGCGTTCCAATGCCAACAAGCTACACACACACACACAAACACCAAGAAGAAGCAATATCCTAACATAGCTGCAGATTTGTAACATATTACAAGTAAATGACACGATGGTCTGAGAGAGGCGTGCCATTTTATCCATCACTGATGCAAAGCTTCTAAACTAAAACCATTCCTCAAACCCACTACCTAAAGAACTGTCAGAAGACCCCCGTTATAATGCATAAGCTCTTCCAGGGCACAAAAAAACCAACCTGATGATCCAAGATCTTGACGACGACGAGGAAGAAGTCGTTGTCAACCTCCTTAACATCCTTCACACCGACAACCACCTCCTTCTTCATCTTGGAAATCTTCGGATCATCGTCCGGACCAATCTCCGTCTCGAACCACCCTTCCTTGAATAACCTTACGCACATATCACTCATCTGAAACGCCTCGAAGTGGACGTCGGCGCCGCCGTCTTCATTGACCTCGAGCTTCACCACCGCAGTGACCCACTCCTTCAACTCGCTCTCAGCGTGAAGCTCCACCGCCTGTACC